ACCCTCGCCGACCATGCACATGGTCCAGGGTTCGATCCCCGGCAGATGCACTCCTCCACCCCGCTAGGCCAGAAATAATGCCGGTGAAGAGAAAAGGTTTGGCATGGGGCTAGCAACCCCATCCTGTAAAATAAACACTACTACAGGAACTTCAAGCCACTAGCTTGAAGCCCTATGTTCCACTGAGGAACGTGAAGGAAAAAAAATTTGCTAGTCAATCAGTGATTTCAAGTATCGGTTTTGTAGGGATTTTATTTGATGGAGGGTTTCAGTATGAGCTGACATCAGTCAGTGAATCACTGGAAAACAAGCTGGGAGTACTGGACAGCTGTTTTTTCAGTCTAGTTTGGGACTCTTAGTCTGTACCCACCCACTGGGGTTCGGACCCAGAACTTTCTGGTTACAAGGCGAGATCGTAGAAAAGTGAGCCACTGGGACCCGATCCACTGACCAGTCTATGAATTCTGACTTCTGCTAATTCACGACATAGGGCCGTCACTTCATAATGTCTTCTTCAATGAGATACTGCCTCATCTTTAAACTGCTGTACCCTACTAGTCAGGGGTTCGAACGCTGGTGGGTGCGTACTGTGAAGAGTCCAAAACTTGGACAAAACAGCTGACCAATACTTACAGGTTTTACAGTGGTTCTCTAACTGATGTCAGCTCATGATGAAATCCTCCATCCAATCAATGTCTTGTTGCTAAACCGGCATTTGTCGAAAATTCCCGAATCTTCTCCCAAACTTATATACGACTATGTCATCAAACATTTCAATCAATGTTTGTTGCCTAAACTACGAAATTCGTGGCCAAACTTTCGATGAATAGGATAAGAAGTTTGTATTGTTATTTTAACAATACTGGGTATATTTTTAGCTGTCTTCAACTGCGCAGAAGCCTCAAAATGAACTATACAGATTTCGTACAGTAAATCTTATTGACATCATTCTGACGAAAACGCCCAAAAATTTATTTGTCCTGGGGTGATTTCGAAAATCGCATCACTAAACAAAGGTTTAACCCAGCATTCTATAGAAACTACTACGCGGCTGAGATCATTATATTTTAGTGAAAATCAGAAGAGAATAAAGCTCTGTGAACCGTAACAACATTTGCAGGACAATGTCTCATCCTTTTGTGTTTACCAATTCACCTGTGCGCGTCGTCATACATACACACATATATACAAAGAGCATCCATCGATTTCCGCACTTTCCAGCTACAGAACGCAACCCCAATTAGCTACAATGAATAGATAAAACCATCTAACTCAAATGATTGTAGAAATACGCGCTCAAAGTCATCTATGGTCAAGCTTATCCTACAAACAGATCATAAAGTTGATTTTAACACCTTGTCTATGACTATGAACATTCAACGTTTGTTTATTGGCTTTGGTCGCCATTGGTGGGCAACTTGAAGGCGCGAGTGATTTGATCGTGTACAAGTTAGAAGAAGATGAAAGAATACGAATAAAAGTACAATACATTCTTTGTAAAGACATTTGTATATAGACTTAGTACAGAATATTGATTTAAACAATCGAAGAATACAATTTCTCGTCACCCATTGTGTTTTGGAATTGAAATCGATATCTGTGTTTAGTGGTTGTCGATTCGAAGCGCCTTCGGAAATACTAGGATCTTAAAATTAAGTTCCTCGACACACACCTTTTCAAATCCAAACATAAATTTATTGAAGCTGTTACAATAAAACAACTATAACCTATTTAATGTGTCTAAAATTCATTGGTTGACTAATACACTGAGCTCACCTTAATAATCTGAATTTATTCACAAAGTGTATAGAGCCCACATTTTCTAATTCACGATTGTTCATCAGCCACCCTAAAAGTCTAAAAATTGACATAATTTATTATAATTGTAAAACTACATAATATGCTTTGAAAATTGACTCAATATGCATTTGAATAAGGCATTTAGAAGACAAATTTCGCGAAATGGTATCGTCATTTCGTAGTTTCTCTACAATCGCTTTGCAACTAGTGTGATTCACAGTAATAAAATAAATTAACATACGTGGCAATTACTCAGTTATATAAAGCAAAAGTACATACTAATGATCCACATAAATGCAGTGATAATAAGATGTTCCAACTGTCTTTCTGTCTTTTCATTGCGTCACGATTTTTGTTGTTGATTACAACTCATACAGTTGAAATTAATTGTTTATTTACGTGATAACTTTACTCAAACTTAATACTTTTTTCAATCCACCCCCCATCTCCTCATGAACGTTCCATCGCATTGTGGGTTAATACACTCTGGTTGTTAGATTATTAAGTATCCTTTTCTACAGGCATATCGTCTGAGATGGAATCATTTTTGAGGAATATTATACATATTTTTTCAAGTTAGACTACGGATTGATATCAGTTAGAGAACCATTGTAAACCAGGGAGTACTGGACAGATGCTTCATCTTATTTTGGGACTCATCGGTAGTACGCACTCACTGGGTGTTGAGCCCAGCACTTTCCGGCTACAAGGCGGGCTCGTAGACCATTCATCCACTGGGAGACGACTCAGTGGCCAACCCAAGAATTCTATGTTGAACCTATTCGTGATTTTAGCGCGACTCCATCCTCACTCCTAACCTGATGAATCCATTTATAATAAGCCATGATGAAAAGACGTGAAATAAAAAAACCATGGGCCGTTTTCATTCGTTAAATATGTTCGTTATCGCCTTGTTCAGACTTTCTCCTTCCTTTGTCATCTGGATGAAAACGTATAACAAATAGGTATGTGAATGTGAGTGTTTAGAATGTTACGTCATATTATTGTCTCAACCAATAAATATCCAAAAAATTGAGCTACTCTTAACTGAAACGAACATTTATCTGAACGAAACATGCACGAAATGTAAAGAAGGTGGATTACTTATTGACTGTCTAAATTAATAATTGATTTCATTAACTCCTAAAACGTCAGTGACACTCTTTACGAAGGTGAAATCTGACTAACTTCAACATTCAGTGTTGATGAACGTATCTGAAAGGAATAACACTGCATATCAGGATTCATCCAGAACTGATTTCAGCCAGATAACCACTTAAAACTAGGGATCACTTGGTACCTACTTCGTCTTACTTTGAAACCCCTCAGTAGTGAGCACCTGTCACTTCACCATGAACTGAACCCAGGACCTTCAGTTTACAAGGTGAGCTTAGTGACTATTCAGTCACTGAGATGGAATTCAATGTTGAGTATCTGTGCTCACAGTGAACTTTATGGTCGCCAATTATCACAATTTTCCACTAGAACTTTAGGCAACCTCATACTGCGGTCTGTCACTAGTGGGTTTCGTATCAGTTTTTAAGTATTAGTTTGCGGTGAATCAGTTCGCGTTGGATCTTGGAATTATTCAAACCACTGCCATCCAGCGCTGAAAACTACTATACACTAAAGAACCTTCAGCAGGCGTACTGTTGGATATATTGATGACACTGTATCTGATGAAAATTCTGGAGTTTTCATTGTCATTCTTGACAGCATCTTTAGAGCTGATTTCAATTCGCCTTACTATATATGAAGAATTAAAATGCTTAAACAAACGGAGTTGAGGATAGAGTTCATATCCGAAACCTCTACTAAATATAACAACAGTATGTTAAAGTAATATCTTAAGCGTAGTAAAAGAAGAGCTACCGTGTCAAACTTCCAAAGAATGGCAACCTAGACTTATGTAAGAACTGAGATGGAAGCATGCTGCTATCGACTCGAAGCAAAATATCACATTGAATCATTCTGGAATGACTAAAGCATGCACTGGACCCAAAAGTTTTCCTGGAACAGTATGAATTCAGAAAAATTAAATAATGGGCGGATCAAATTGCAAATCACCATCGAACAGAGCTTAGAATGAGAGTGAACACTTTACGTCAACTTCATCGACTTTGAAAACGCCTTCAACATTGCTGACAGTGAATTAACCTGGAAACTGTTTCGGTGTTATGGATTGTTTCGCTGCCATCTTTTATAAGTCCAATTTACTAGGAACATGATGTGTCACATGTGGCGTAATTCACAGCCGAAATTTGAAATGTCTGTAATGGAGACATGAGTAAGACAAAGCTGACTACCATGTACCGATGATATCCCTCATTGTGGTGGATAGGATCATGCAAAAGACCATGGACAGTGAGGAGATCGGCATATATGCCACAGACAAGAAGATACTGGAAGATCTAGACTTCACACACAAACTCGAAGACCTATAGGTAAAAACCATCAAGTTGACAGGAAGATCTGGCAGCAGTGACAGGATTTTAAGGGGAAATAGAAAGGACGGTGGTAATGAAGATAACCAACCAACAACAACAACAAGCCATAATCACTAGCAACGGAAGCAACTTAAAGGAGATCACTTCTATCACTTATCTGAGCAGTTTAATTCTCCGTTGAAGTTCAGGCTTCTACTAAAAACGCTTTGGCAATGTCAAAATAATAAATTTCTATTACTTTGGTTGATCACCATCAACCTAGCAGTGGGATCTAGAATACGCAATTGGTTCTATTTGATATTCGTCAGCTGGATATACCCACATTCCCATTGAGTAACTTTATTCTCACCCATCATTCCCCAGTGACCTTCGCGTCCCTGCACAGATAAACAGCTATTAGTAGTACAAAATGGACATCCTGTTGAATTCCCCTACAAGACACCATCAACCCACATGACATCACGTATATTTTAAATAGTAGATGCTGTTTTATTTAAACAAACCGAGGTAATTTGAAATATTCTGCACCGACTAAAAAGAATATATTAGTGTTTTTAAAAGTCAGCAGATACATAAACGGAAACAGCCTTGATGTTTGCAATGCTGTTTTTTTACAAATAAATTCGAATATAGCGGCATTAACCATATAAATCCTATTATGATTGGCCGATATTTTCCCACGCTTTTGATTGGTTGATTAAACTGCAACACAGTTGATACATTAATTTGTATGATATATTCCCATCATTAACAGAAATATTAAAACACTTAGGATTCTTTAAACAAGTTTAGCATGGAATTTAAATATATTGATAAAATGTAAGTATTACTTATGGAATATTTTACCATACATTTTGAGAAATTTTTAATATTACAAAATATATAAGGAAAGTTCACCTCTTCTGTTAAAAATAATTGTTATTATTGAAGTAACCTGAATTCTGAGGAAATAATTTGAAAAGACAGAAAATTTGCAAGAATTTGACTACTGACAGGTTTGATTTGGTCCCAGTGACTGAATGGTCTATGAGCTTGCCTTGAAACTAGAAGATCCTGGATTCTAACACTGTCGATGTGTATTGCTGAAACGTCCTAGAATGAGACGAAACAGGTGTTCAGTAATCCCTGGTTTTCAATGGTTCTATAACTAATATCAGCTCATGATGATACCTGTTATTTATTGGATGTTCAGGCTAGTCACTATCACTGTATTGTGGCTTCAAACTGCAAGTCTCCACCTGCTTCTGTCTTCTGCTGTACTTTTCACCTGCATCCATGTTAGTCCATACTGTTTCAACTCCTCTTCACACGATCTCCTCCATGTCACCCATGGACGTCTCACTCACCGCTTCCAATTCGGGTTCCACTCGAGGGTCTGAATTGCGATATCACCCAGCGGCCACCTCAGCGAGTGTCCAATCCATCTCCACTTTCTCGATTGTGGCGAGGTTCTTGTTTTGTTTGTTCCCATAGCTTCTTGTTGGTGATTCTTTCCGGCCATCTGATCTTCAGTATAGAGCGAAGACAGCTGTTGATAAAGGTCTGCAAGAGGTTGTTGGAAATATTCTTTGTGACCCGCCAAGTTTCTGATCCGTATAGAAGAACTGACTGACTTGACGTTTGTATTGAAAATCCGAATTTTGTTGTTGATGTTAAGTGACGAAGATTTTCAGATTGGTTTCAGTTTGATAAGTGTGTTTCTCGCCTTCCCGATTCTCGATTTGACATCATCGTCCGTTCCTTCTGTAGTTGAGACAATGCTCCCTAGATAAGTGAATGAAATAACCTCTTTCAAACCCCTCCCGTTGATGGTGATTGGCGCTGTTTCTAGTAATAAAATAATGCATGAATTCATTTAAGATATTTAAAAATGTTATATTTCCGCAAGACAATCATTATTAGGTATCTGGAAACTTGGATCACTGAGTCGAGAAGAGTAAATTCGACGAATATTTAGTCTATGTATGCATATGGAATTCAGTGCACTTTTCATTTCCTCATAAGGTACAGATGTGTACTACTGATGACCATGAAGTGATATCAGTTGTAGGAAGATTGAAATTTAGGTGGGTGCTGATGTTACATACCGCAAATCGACAGACGCTTGAATTCATGAAATATCAGGTTACGTCTAAATAGCTGGATAAATGATTTAAGGCCTGACCTTATAACTTTAAGCTCTTGAGTTTGATCCCCACTGGAATTATCAGTGGGTAATATTCAAGGGGGAACGGATGTCAAATCGAGAATCGGGAAGGCGAGAAACACATTCACCCACCTGAAACCAATCTGGAAATCTTCGTCACTCAGCATCAACAACAAAATTCGGATTTTCAATACAGACGACGTCAAGTCGGTTCTTCTATACGGACCAGAAACTTGGCCAGTGTATCACAAAGAATATTTCCAGCAGCAGGTTGCAGACATTGATCAACAGCTGTCTTCTTTCTATACTGAAGATCAGATGGCTGGAAAGAATCACTAACAACAAACTATGGGAACAAACAAAACAAGAACCAATCGCTCAACATATATGCAGGAGAAAGTGGAGATGAATTGGACACTCGCTGAAGAGGCCACTGGGTGACATCGCGCGTCAGGCCAGTGCTCGAGTGGAACCCGAGAGGGAAGTGACAAGTGGGACGTTCCAGGGTGACATGGAGGAGATCGTGTGAAGAGGAGCTGAAACAGTATGGACTAACATGGATGCAGGTGAAAAGTACAGCAGAAGACAGAAGCAAGTGGAGACGTGTAGTTGAAGCCCAATGTTCCACTGGGAACTCAAGGGAACAATAATAATAATTTTCAATAGCCTTAAGCAAGAATGTCAAGTACTTCTTGGTTTCAAATATTTCCGTATTTTATATCAGTTTCTGATATAATTTCAGAACGTTTATGTATTCAGCATGCAAATATTAAACTAAAAAAGGTATATATCGTTAAATTTAAGAAATAAATCAGTTCAATTCCTTCAGATGTAGCTTATTTATTCACCTTTTGAGTTAACTGTGTGTCAACCAAGCAAGCAGGCGGTTCAAGGTTCGATCCCGGCCACCGACGCACTCCTTGCCCTCGCTCACTAAACCAGTATTAAGACTGGTAAAGAGAGAAGGTTGGGTATGAGACTAGCAACCCATTCCCGTAAAAAATAATCACCACTGCTACCGAAACTTCGAGCTGGGAACGTGAAGGAATAAAATAAATAATGAATAAGCTTTCATATACAATTACTTGTCGTAGTCTTGTATCTGCTCAATGAGACGTTATTTTCTGCTAGTTCAATCGACCTCGAAAATTTATATCTTAGGTGCCTCGACAGACCAACTCAAGTATATGTTTATATGTATAACAGTCTCAAAAACGTCATTCGTACTCATTCTATACAGTGTTGAACGCAAATTTCATCACTTTTTCCAGCTAAAACTAGCATTTTTGTCATACTATTCGGTCCCGTAGGAATTACATCGGTATTCTTGTTGGATCGTTTCATGATATATTTTTCGCCATTAAAGAACAATAAAGTTCAGCGAGGAGTCTCTTTTCGGCGAATCCATTCCGTTAGCTTCACAATCACATTTATCTGAAATTATTTTGTATGCATGTGTGTGTACATTAGGATTGTCAAACAATAATAAAAGTTAGTTATGGTTATTTCTTACGTCATGAAAATGTCTCAAAAATGTGATGAATAATCACACTGAAACTAGGGTAGATGAAGATTGGTAAGTATTCACAAGGGTTACGTATCGCTAAGGACACCCATAATAATAAGATTTTCATGAAAGACCACAGAGACACGTGCGCAAAATGAATTACACAATAGGTAGAAAGAGTAAATAAAGGATTGCTTAGGAAAAAGATGCCGCTAAGACATTATACAAAAGTTACAAAATTAAAAAATATTCAGAAACAGCACTAATAACAAAGCAAGAGAACTTGGAATTATCCCTGAAGTAGAAGGTGGGGTGTAAACGTTTCTTCAACGTACATAAATCAAGGTTTTTCTATCCAGATTATTAAGGCCTCGGCAAGGCAAAGTACACGGAAGGTTACTGTTTTCAGGAGGCTTCTTTTGACTTTGTAGATGACTTTGAATGAATTCTGCTTGCATAATGAGTGAACAGTGTTTAACATTTGTTCAGTTATAGTACTCGTTATTGACCCACTGTTAAAATACATGCCTCGAATAATCTATATATCTCGCTGTCTCCACATGAGCAAGTAAATTGGTAGATTCACAGAGAAGTTGTCAAATATGTTAGTTTATGTTTAGAGTTGTTGAAGAACAGCAGGTGGCTTGAGGATGCCAATCGTAATGTAGCAGCAGAGAATGTTCTTTCAGGAAGTTAGATATTCTTCTCTGTAGGATGTCGGTCAGAAGGTCACGTCTGAACACCACATTCATGTATAGCATCTTATTCGGCAGAGAGATGGGTTGTACTTTCTTGAATTTTTGGGCTTTATTTGTTTATTTTTAAAGCGTATTGGATAGCCATTCCCATGTAGAGTCTTCCTCAAAAAATTGATCTCTTCTTTTACTGATTCTAATCTCTGTTTTTCAAGACATCGAGTAATATCATACGGTTGTCGTCCACTTCAGGTCTTTGATACAGGCGACAAATTCAAACGTGTCTCGAAGAGAGTATTTTGAAATTTGTTCTCTAACAGGCTGTAGGAGTTTTGCCAGTCATTAACATCCTATTTTTCTAGGTGTCATTCATATTATGCAACTTTTGTAAATACCTACCGATCTCCACCCACTCCCTCTAGTTACAATTTGATTATCCATCAGATTTTTGAGACGTTCTGATAATGTAAACAGTAACCCTAACTCATTTTTATTTTTGTTTGACAATCCTAATGTGTACACACGTAGACACAAAATAATTTTAGGTATAAATGCGATTTTACAGCTGGGTGAGTGAATTTGTCAAAAAGAAGCTCTTCGCTGAACTTTCTTGTTCTTATATTCATGTCTGGATGGGTATTTTACATGAATTTTATATTTCTATTTGACTTTTAACGGGACATAAATATTCTCTTAGACCCTCCCTAAAAATTGTGCTGGATACTATCGAATTCACGATTTACACAGTTCATAGGAAAATTTCACCATAGTCGTCTCTGCCTGGTTTTTTACCTTGTTTGGCACTCTGGACAGAGTCAAATGAAGTATAAACAGTTGTTGAACGCAGCTATAAATTAGCGAAGCAACTTCCAGGTCTTTATATCCCTTTGATATGGCTGGCAAGCATTACTAGTCGAGGTGAATGGCATCCAAATACTCATATTGACCGATCAGTAGTATATAGCGTTACGTAATTATGCTTGCTTTCTTCATCGCCGTTTGTTATATCAAGTAGGTTATAGTTGTTTCTATATTCGCTATTAACTGTTCAACCAAGTAACTAAAGAGAATTCGGGCTGTTTTGAAATGAGAGACACTGCTGATGACCTCAGGCTCAAACAAGTGAAACGGCTAGCAAGCAATACTGTTGTATATGGCTGTCTTTCAGTTCACATTATGTAGCGTCATCCATTTGTGTGCGATACTACATGGCATCGAGTGGAAGGCATTACCGTTTAGATAACAGCAAATGTCTTTGCAATGAAAATTGAAAACGTTAGAAGATCGTGTATTCTTAAAAATGTACGTATAAAATACTCTTAAAAAAGGTTATTAAATGCGATCAAATCAGCATGATGCTTCAGAAGAACTAGAACAACGTCTTTTTCACTGTCAAACAGAAATCAAAACAGTTTAAACCTTGATCTAACCAAGTCCTGGTATATTAAAAATGACTGATTCTGGAAGCTAC